TCAGCCCACCAAATAGAGACAAATGTACGTATATTGCGAAAATGATAAACTGTTCAAAATTTAATTTCTATTTAGTGCCATAACTAGATGAATTAAGTTGCTTATTCTCCATGAATTAATGAAAGGAACAGAAATACATTATAATACAAGGTGTAGTGAATTTTCTCTATTAGAACACGAGTTGTACAATAATAATTTTGAGCAAATATGGCAATTGTTTTTCTCAGGAAATCTTAAAATCAAACTTGTAATTGCATTGGGTAATACTGATTTGTATATCCATAATCATAAGTGGAAATTAATTATTCAAATTCTGGATTAGTACAGCAAAGCATACCATAACATTATTTTAAGTACAATCTGATTCTTAATATGTACAGCATTGCAAGATTTTTAATCTTATTCTAAGCACTTTTATACCGTTTTAACCATCTTACAAATTTTATTATACAGTTTTACGAATTTTAATCCAAATTTTACCCCTTCACACGTTTTACCCGTTCCTGTGTTACTGGTATTTTAAATAAATTGAACGGTTTTAAATGCTTAGGTTAAGACTATTTGATTTTAAATATCACTGCATATTTTATTGAAATATCTTTTTAGCTTTTTGTAGATGTGTGTCATTTTTAAGTCTGTTGTTAATTATCGTGTTTTTAGTCTGTGATTTAATGGGAACCCACCGCATGGCATGTGCCACTGATTCAAAAGTGTAGTTTTCAAATAAAGTTATTATATTGATGTTCTAAGATTTCTTTATTTGTAACTGCTTTTGAGACATATTCCCCTACTATCCAACTCCCACTCTCTCTACCCCGAAGAGTAATAGTATACCAGCGTCCGTCGGAAATTTCCTACCAACCTCAGCTCCACTCCGTTAAGGCTGAGGTGAGCAATTTTTTAATTAGACACCTCTAGATACCCGAAAATGGTATCATAAGACAGTAAAAATAGTGTTCTGTTCTCCGACGGAGGGTCCTGGCGCTGGATTTATTAATCTCAGCTTAGCAAATGTCTTAAGTCAAAAAAGTTAAGATGTACTTAATAAATATCTTAAGCTGATTTATTACCCAATTTTAGCGAAATCTTGGCTTAAAAATCGTCTTAGATGGTGCCAACGTAGGCCTAAAATCGATTTTGAAGCTAAGCAATATGGATAAATTTGACTTAAGCAAAAAAAGGACTTATGACGAATTCAAGCTGATTTCTAGTTTGATAAATGTGTTTCCAACTTCCGAAATATAGACTTTTTGCATCTTATTCTTACCAGGTGCGGATCCAGAATTTTATAAAACGGGAAGGGGGGGGGGGGGGGGGGGGGGGAGAACAACATCTTCAGGATACTAGATAAGTGGGTAGAGCTGTAGCAGTGTAGGGTTCCCGGTAAGGGTACGGAGGCGCCGCCGACGTTTTCAGGTTCTGGCCTATTTAAATGTATTCTCACTCATGTTCCACTAAGTTGATATACGTGATTTCAACAATATACCAATATATGCCTACATATTATTGTTATGACTATCATTTACTAACACTAAATAATACAAACAGCGATTGATACTGGTAATCATGAATATTACCCCAAAACAAACACAAAAATTATATAATGGCGATCCAAAAAATTGGAAATAGAGGGGGGGGGGGGATGGAGGAACTTTTACAAATGGAGAGTCCACACCACCTCGGCGCCACCATGGTTAGGGCTGAGAAAAAAATACTATTATGAAGGCACCTCTAGAAGGCTGGAAATGGCACTCTCATACCTGATAAATTATAATTTTTTTAGGGGGCGGGGTGGATTTCCCCCTTGAATCTGTCGCTGTTAAAAGTCGAGTTATATTGTGATTCTCATCTGAAATATTTAATAAAGCTGGTATTGGTCACTTGAATACAAAATTAAGCTAAATAGATAATTGTCAACATAATGCAGTGGTGGATTCAGGAAATCGAAATAGAGAGGGCCTGGGGAGTGACTTTCACAGATAGAGGGTCTAGATCACCTCAGCCCCACGATGGTTGGGGTAAGAAAATTTATAATTAAGGAGCCTCTAGATGGCCGGAAATGGCACTCTCATACTTTGAATATAATTTTCATTTTATTCTTTATTATTAAAATAATTTTGAAAATTTTAAGAGGGTGGAGGGTCCCACTTGAATCCGCCACTGCTGAAAGTGGAGTTATATTATGATTTCTCATCAGTAATATTTAATAAATAAAAAGCTGTGGTAATGTTCAGTTTGATATAACGTTAAGCTAAAAAAATATTTGTGACGAGGATGCTTCTACCATGACCCCACCCTGATTCACATATCGTACTGCATTCATGTGTGTCTGTGCATATACAATTTCCGTTGATACAGTATTGTTCAATATAAAAAAAGACACTTTTGATACATTCCGTATAAATTTTTTAATATAACTGTATTTTTTTTAAACATAGCAGGTAGTTGAAATCTACTTTGGCTTACAAAAAGCATGCTAACCTATCTAGGTTGGAAGATCAGACAAACTAGGCTTTAATTATAGCCCAACTAGTTTTCAATTAAATAAATTATACACGCCGGCCATCTAGGAATCAAAATTTTCCTGGGGGAGGACACCCGGACCCCCGGACCCCCTTTCATTTTGGGTTTTTTTTGGAAACATTTTGAACCCCCTCTTCCTGGATCTGCCCCTGGGATGCCTAGTAGAATGTAAACATTCAGATTGTAGCTGCATGCATTTAACTGATTCTAACATATGGGAATGGCACTTTAAAGTTACTCGCAGATGTGTAAAATAATTGCAACAAAACTGAAGGAGATAGCATCTCAACAATGAGTTGATAACGAATCTCAAACAATTTCTAAAAACATAAAATTCTGACAATATTTTGACTGTTATGAAATATAATGCTAAGCATATATATAACTTCATGATATATCGTTGAATGAGAAAAATAAAAAACTGATGTGATAGTGTAAACCTATTTTATCTGATAAATTAGGCAAATTATACATACATACATATATATATATCTTTCATGTGATTAAATCAGTAGGTAGACGCAGACAAAATAAACTGCTACGATACTTTGACTTGTAGGAGACATAGAAATATTTATTAGCGAAATTTTCGGCAACTCCTGTTACCTTCGTCAGCGCATGAGTATCAATGATACTCATGCGCTGACGAAGAAGACCTGTCTTAAATCTTCAAAGGTACAATATTTTATTCAACAGTGTTAACGGCTAACTTCCTTCAATATCATATATATATATATATATATATAAATCAGTAGGAGACATAGAAATATTTATTAGCGAAATATTCGGCAACTCCTGTTACCTTCGTCAGCTACTACTTCCTACTGATTTATTCCTACGATGAGACATACGTGGATCCACATCAACAACACCGATCGAATATGAATTTATATATATATATATATATATATATGTACATAATCATCTGTTTATTATATAGTGAAAAAAATAAATATTGACAAAAATGAATAGAATTATTCTCTGAAATACTACTGTATACCATATACAGTATATCACTTAAAATATTTGCAAGTACCGTAGTGGTAATATAGCCATTACCCATTTAACAATACAGTAACGCTCTGTCCACACAATAACGCCTTCTGCAACACATTTGCGTGAATTGCCCATACATGGGCATGATCATGTCATACCAAATCCCTATATGGGCATAATGTCATAACATACCAATATATTACACAACATACACAGAAGCAAAACCTATAAAGGCTCATGCAATAAATTACATCAGAGTCAGTCTTTTCGTGGGGTAATAACATGTGATGGTGGACGGAAAGGGACATGAGAATGTGGGCTTATGGTAGGTAAAGGAAGTGTAAATCTTCACTGCAGTTCCTATAAACAAAAATGTTTGTGTAAATCTTTTTATAAACTGGTTCCCATTGATTTTGATACTTATGATAAACATAACGGTCTAAAAATCATGCTGAAACAGCACGTTTTCAGTAGTGTATACTTCTTGAATACCTAGGTACATCAATACAGTACTTTCTTTTCGAAACATACATAACACAAAAAAAGAAGGCAGTAAATAGGGTGGTTTTGGTATTAAGGCAAATATTGGTTCTTAGAGTTGAGGTTGTCTGTTGTGATGGAGGCATTTTAAGATCATTTATCATGGTGAGCTATTAAATTTATGTCAGTCTGAAGTATTTAAAAAAAATCATAATTATTCTTTGTCTGTATGAGCATGCTTTTGAGCACTAGTCAGCAGTTTCTTACACCATACTATTTCAATTAAGAAAAAAATTACTGGCGAGCAGAAATAATTTTCCTCCACCTAAACTCATATAAAAAAAGGAAGATCATTAAGGGAGGAACACCAGTTCATTATACAGTATACTCGTGTACAAAGCAACTGGCGTATAAGACGACCCCTGACTACGAGACGATTTTTGTATGTAGGGTGTATAAAACGACTCTTGTTTCATCCTCGGAATTCCTACTTTTTGCTGCTTTTTATGGTCTTGATACTGCATCCAGTTGGAAAAAAACGGTGCCAAATGTAGGGCCAATCTTCCAAGTAACAACATTTTATAGGCTTTTAAATGTTCATCAAAATCTTATTTTCACGCTTTAATTGCATTCATTCATGCTAACAGTTGTTAGCTCTATTTCAGTAGAAAATTTTTGCGTTACAGACAATAAGAACATAAAGCTTTGTCTACACTATCAAATTTCATCAACAAAGCGTCACATAAATGTAATGAAACATAGAGTTTAACACGTTCAACTTTTTTTGATACAATTTGATAATATGTGATATGACATCATCGTACCCATATATGGGCACATCATATTTTTTTTTGTCACATAAAATTTGATAGTGTAGACAAAGCTGAAGTCAAACATGATTTGAAAAAAAAACAAGACAATCCCGTTTTTCAATATTGTAATTTGCTATTTTAAGCGTCGTCTAATACGTCAGAATATACAGTACACATTTGATGCTAAGCTCCATATACCAAGTAATGCAATATTGCAATTTTAATTTATGTTACTACAATTTCTGTCTGTTCATGACTTAATTATCAGCCAATTTGTTCACCATAATATCCTCATCAATAATTCATATTCAATCACATACAAATAACCGACAGAACAACGGAAGCAACAAAATAAATCAAACAAAATTTCTTTTCCCGCATGAAATTTTACAATCAAACAACCAACTTCCTGTCGTAATACTAATTCACCTTGACATGTGGTATGAATTTTAGAAACTATATTCAACAGGAGCTTGATTTTGATAGAACACAAGTCTCAAACTTAAGCTCTAGAGGGAGCTTCATTCTAATTTAATTTTTACAGGTTTGAAGAATTGTAAAAATATTTAAAAAAAAACATATTTAAATAAATAATTGTAAGTAGCAGAGGGTTGTTTGTATAGCATGGTGATGACGATGATAAGATATCGTTGTCATGATCATAATGTCATAATGATCAAGACCATGATTATCATCATATGCTATGCAACAATGAATCTCAATCTAATCCTGTCTTTGTGTAATACTTAAAGTTTGCTATGGAGTAACATGCTATTTAACAGTGTAGAATAACAGCAGACAGAGCCATTCCTATGAGATGCAAACCCTATTACATTACATACATATACTTTGTGGTAACAATTATATGTACTTGCATGCAAAGAAAAATATCCTAACCTCTTTCTCAACTCACAAACACATGATATTAATGTCCCAATGATCATGATTACCAATATTGTTTGTATATTTGTTAGCCATCATAAAATATGAAGAGTAGGCAGTCTTTAAGAAAAATTTAATTCGTAGATAGAATTCAATAATCTTGCAACAATTTTGATGGTCTGCATTCATGCTTATGAATAACGATCTTGACTTATCCATCGCATAGTTGGCTATCATGTCATAAACATGGCGTACAGTCAGTTTCAACTGGTAGCAAGGACTGTGGCACTAAGAGTGCAGTAGTTCAAAACACTACCAACTTCAATGGCTGTGGCACCAAAAATATTGATAGCATTGTTGAACAACTATTGATGCTGTGGGACCACAGACACTAGTGCTGTGGCACTAAACACTATTAGCGCTGTGGCACCAAACACTATTAGTGCTGTGGCAACTAACACCATTAGAATTTGTCATGATAAACACTATCAGTATTTTGGCACCAAATACTACTAGCTTTGTGGCACAATCTACTATTAGCACTAGCTTTGGGCACCAAGTAATATTAGCGCTGTTGCACCAAACAATATTAGCACTAGCTATGCCAGTAAACGCTACGTCCAAAGATGTGTGTCAGACTGTGGAAGCTTCACAACTCCGACGCCACCTCCTAATCGTCTAAAATTCATATTGCCACACATCCTCCATGACTTACTGTCAGGGTCGTATACCTCAACCGTTTTTAAATACGTTGTTCCGTCAAAACCGCCAACAGCCATTAGCTGTCCGTTGACCACAGCCAAACCCACCTGCAGAAAAAGATCACAATAAACTAATCAACACACTGTACTTCTTCACACATACATTCAGGCTATGTTCTCACACGGCTGCTAACGGTTAGCAGGATCCGGATCCTGCTGACCGTTAGCTGCTGTGCGTCCATACGAGAAAAATCTGATCCGGATACCAAGAATATGATGATCGAATCACTAGCCAATAAGAAACTGGAAATTGTAAACGTGTACGTGTGATTGGTTGATGATAGAAACGTGCTGGCTTGCTATTCCGATAGCGCTTGCTAACCATTGGCGGTATCCGGGTACCGCTAACGGTTAGCGCTAACCGATCGGGCGTTCTCACACAGGTGCTAACTCCCGATTCGGATACTAGGGCTCTTGTGAAAACCAGGCTAAAATATTTCTTGAAGGATTTTGTGAACTTCAGGTACACCGTGTGTAAAAATAGGGAGCTTTTGATTGCACGAAAAACTGTAGGGCGTAGAACGTAATGACGTCACTAAAAGTCATCTGCGCATGCGAGAACATTAAGGTCACCTCGTCGAGCAGATTCTGGAACGCAATTTGGCTAAATCCATGTATGCAGAGAACGTAAGACGCCAGGTAGGATGGTCATGCATGAGTGATTCCGTTCTAGATTTGTGTTGTTGCACAGAGCTCCCTATTGTGGTTTTACTGTATCTCAAAAACCATATTATTACACATGGTGTACCAGAAGTTTAATTATTTTGTTACACATGCATAAATATCTAAAGTAGATTTGGTACTAGAAAAATTCAATTCAACGAAATGTGTACTGTATATATTTTTTACTGTATATATATTTTACTTTATATTTGATACTTTAATGTTTAATTGTTGAGTTAATTAATTTCTTTTATGTATTTTGAAAACCCACAGTAAAAGCAAAAAATTTCACTGGAAGGGCTTTAAATACATGAAGTAGACTTACCCCACTTCGTCTAGAATTCATTGCTACTATCGGCTTCCATGTATTGGATGCCGGTTCATATCGTTCAGCGCTGCTCAATTCCGTCTGATCATCCCTTCCGCCTACTGCGTACAGCATGTCATTGAATACGGAGCACCCTAAGTGTTTTCTTCTTGTTCCCATTGGCGCTACTGGTGTCCATTTATTCATACGAGGATCATATCTCTCCACTAGTGTAAGGAACAGATAAAAATATAATGATAAAATTAATACTACTAAAAAAAAATACCAATAAACTAAAAAAAAAATTCAAATTGATACAAACTCAGAGGAAAACAATTAAAAAAAATTTTAAAATGGAGTTGAGTTGCTTCAGCTCAAGCTGGGCAATCACTCACTGCACCCGATGGCCGATGCGATTCTATGACAAACGACCAACAGATTGTTTTTAATGATGATCCGTTCAGACTACAACCGACAATCAGCAGATGGTGTCGCATGGTCTAGCGCTCATAGGGAGCGGAGTTGGATTCATCGTACAATAATCGCATGACTGCCAGATTTAGACCACTGATGTCTCCTGGATTTACATGAATGTTTAATGGGTCACATATTTAACATTGTAAAAGGGGTTTATCACTCTGGTATATTTAATTTATTGTTTATAAAAATTTTATTTAGATAGAAAAGACTAACACAGTAGACCTAAATCACTGTTGAATTGTGTTTAAGTGCGGCATGGCTTATGCAGAATAGTACAAACTTAGATCTTCAACCACATGTATTAACTTTTGATTAAAACTTCCACAATAATATTAAACACCACTGATGCAAAAAAATGTCATGACACAAAAAAGGCCATTTCAAGGCACGTATTTATATTAATATATTATAAATGATTCTCCTACTTCATTCGTGAAGAAACCATAATGGGATATCTGTTTTTAATGGCCATCTGATGGTCTCGTAATCCATATCAAACAAACGAGGGACACACCTCCTCTAGAGACATGTATATTTTACAGCCGTTAATTTCGTGGCTGATGAACTTTTCTACAAACACACGAAGACTATATTGCTCCTACTCTAATTTGTGAGATAAATAAGCCAGCCCCTACAATGTCCATACAAACAAGTAATATTATTGTCATAAATCAAATGTTACTAATATCAGTAGTGTATCATAAAATTAATATGACTACCGACCAGTGTAATTAAAAAGAAAAAACAAAGCAGAGGAAATGAAGATTGATTATTATCAGTTTGAGTAAACATCAAACATTATATTTTTTTTATATTTTAGTATTCTGACATACATAAAAGGCAAATTAAAAAATTATTATCAGTTTGAGTAAACATCAAACATTATATTTTTTTTTATATTTTAGTATTCTGACATACATAAAAGGCAAATTTAAAATTGCTAAAATTTTAATTTAAAGTCCTTTCACAGGAATATGGTTTTAATTTTTAAAAACCCACAATTTCACATACACTGGCATTTCTTAGGCCATAGCCCAGCGTATACTTTGCATGAATAACCTGGTTTCCATACAATCGCAACACGCTATTGCCAACAGCTTTCAGTGATGCTGGTTGGTCAGTCTAATCGGGTGTCTTCCCGATTGCCTTCTGGGACAGCTACGCAGCACAGTGAGTGCACTGAAAACACTTTAGCGACAGTGTAGCAATTATAAGGGAATCAGGCTTACAAATGGTTGCAGGAAAACAAAAATATAAAATTGGATTCTTGACCAGGTAGAAGGAAATGTGAAGTTAAAAAAAGTCATGTTGTTAAAAAAAAATTTTTAATAATCTAAGTTAAAAAATATCTGACAGCTAAATATAGGTTGTCTTAAAATAATGTGTCTTGAATAAACAGTTGTCCATGTGAAGGTTCAAAATGCTAAAGAGTGAATTTGTAAGTTCAGTTCCAAGAAAAAAATTAAATATTTACTGTGATTGCAACGGAAACACAGGGCATACTGTAGAAGGAAAAATATTAATGGCCATTGTACTGTATGTATCTAGATTAACATTTGCCAGCAGCCTTTACTCCAAACTGATCAATTTGTAAAACAACCAATGCATTGTGTGCTATGGAAGACAGAAATTAATGTCCCATTTCCTTCTAGAATATTTTAATAATCAATTCTGGTCAAGTGAATTAGAAAATCTAATCTGTATTCCATGATCAATTAATCTGGTGTGGTCATTACGCTTACTTCCATTTAGTACAGAAATGTAATTAAAATAGATTAATCTTATGCATATATATATGCATCCTTCCAGGGGACAATCTTTTTTTATATGCATAAATTATATAAATCATTTACATATGTAAATCAGTAAATCCGTTGGAGCTTCAACTCAAGCTTTCAGACAATTTAAACATTAAAAATTGTTTCCAAACTGATGACCAAATAAATGTTTAAAAAAAAAATTGCATCGCAATTGTGTGAAGCTTCTTTTTATGTAAATGATAATGATGATGACAATAGAATACAATACCTATCCATTTTTTATTTGATAGACTATTTTTTTGTATTAAAGATGTATTGTCCCTTGCTAATGTCAAAAAATCATAAAAAATAATTTTGAAATAATAATATGAGCAATTTTATTTCAAAATTATTTTTTATGATTTTTAAACAAATTATTAACTTGTGCATAAAAATTATTGAATTTTAAGAATGTGTACCCTGATTTTTAAACCAAAAAATTATAATAAAAATAATAAAAAACTTCCAGTGATTGGTAGTGTTTCTAACATTTTTCGCTGTAAACTGATGAGTAGACATTTTTTAAATACACTAATTTCTATGATCAAGTTGATAACTTTTATGTTACTTTAAAATGGGCAAGTTAATTTCAAAAATATTTTTATGATTTTTTGAGTATTTAGCATGGGACAATACATCTTTAAAAAAAGAAGAAAAAAAACTAGGAGTGTTATATAAAATATATTAATTTCTTTTGTACGATAAATCTTTATTTTTTAATAGTAAAAAAAGTGAAACAGAAAAAAAAAAACACATTTTAAAAAGTTGTTCATAGAGATTTATTTTAATATTTATAATCCTTGATCCTTGTTGCTGTTACACTTTTTGTGATGGTTTTGTACTTCATTACGTGGGTCAAAAGTACGAAGGCTGGCACCTACTGTGCCTGTTGGTCGTCAGCAAATTTAATACTATGGGGAACGCAACACCATGCCGCGCACGCAACCGCTTCGTTTCTAAGGAAGGGCCGGTCAGGTTGTGACTGACAATCAGCAGACGGCATCGCGTCATCTAGCACTCACAGAGGGCGGAGTTGGAATCGTCGCACGACTGTCGTACGACACAATAAAGTGCCCAGCTTAAGTCAAAATCACAACAGAACTCATAGCTATAACTACAATAATAACAACAAAAATAAGCACGCTTGCTTTAATACCTTTTACACATTACCTCAGAGTGCCCTAGAAAACACACAATTCACTGTAGCCTACCATAAAATATTCAAAACTGATTTACCTGTTTGAAAAGGTCATTCACTCTTAAATAGACATGTATCTAAATGTATACAATATGCTCATCTTTCCCTAATGGATTAATGCAGTCATGATTTATTGCAAAATTGTATATATTTATGCACAGAGCTATTAAACAACTAGAGTGCTGACTAGGCGATGAAGCAATGCAGAGTTGTGTACGTGTACCTAACAAAATAGCCACCATAGGAAACTGTTATTTCATTAATCATCATTATTTTTAATTATATTAATAAATTATTAAATAAGCCTCGCTAAAAAGAGGGCAAGTAGAGTACCTGATTTAAAAAGTACTGACGAATGAAAATCAAAATCGGGTACGCTAAAACGCATTACCGCAATGCTTAAGCTTCAACATACGGTGACTAAGATGTACTTAAAACGTTCATGTGTAAACTGAGGGCATAATTGAATACGATGCTTATGAATATTTTGATTCGCTGAATCTACAGCAGCCATCTTGTACGGTACACACACACTGCTCTGCGTATTTAGAACATCGAATGCATTGGAGTTAGCGCTCTAGTATTCTCACTATAACTCTATGTATTTATGCCATCTGCCTCCATCCACTTGTATTCAATGTTCCTAAGTGGAGTGTTTGATGTGCACTTTCCCATCCTCGACAACCAACATCTAGATTGAATTACCTGTATTTAAAGGAGAGGTACCATCAGATCCACCAACAGCATAGAGGTAGGAGCCAAGAACAGCTACAGCAACTCCTAAGCGCCTTGTACTCATCGATGCTACTCTGGTCCATCGGTTAGCATGGGGTTCATATCTGTAAATACAAATTAATGTTTGTTAATTGCATTTGTTGGTTCTACCCTCGCCAAATTCTAACAGTCAATACTACTAAATTAACCTATTTGCTACAGTTACATATTCATTGCAAGACATCAATCAATATAGACAGTCTCAATGAGATAAATAAAATCGCTCTGACTCATATTTTATAATATTTAAGGATATGTGACATTATGGTCTTTTACTTGCATTGTACACTGTAAAATTCTCACACATTCCATATATGGCGGGGAGATTAAATCTCTGTTTAATGCCAGGTTTGTTCATTTTATAAAAATTGCTTATTTACAGCCTGATCAAACCATCTTGGTTTTATAGTTGTGAACGCTGTCTTATTCAGGACAATATTATGATCCGGATATTCTTTATTAATATGTTTAGAAACACCATTAAAGAGCACAAGGAGGTAGAGGGCCTAACAAAGCCCACTGAGGAAAACCGTCCTGACGCCACAAGATCAGATGACGTCACGTTAGCAGTGGTTGAAAGCTTGCAAAGTAAGCTCTTAAAAAATTATCCAGTGTTTCAAAGTTTGAAAAATTTATACAATTAACATCCTGGATAGATGAATCTTCATCAAACTAATAATGCATTATTTATGCTTTTATATTATTAAGGTGATGAGTGATGAACAAGAGGAAACAATCACAGAAGGCTGGTGAAGACAGAACTAATGGAATCAATAAATAAAATATGTTGGTTATAAGGTTGAACTGAATTACTAAGTACAAATTGTATCATATTTGACAGTTTTACCACTTGTATGTTTTAATACTTTATTCAGAGAATATAAATATAATATTTATAATAAAAATAATTGTCGACTTATATAGCGCATATTGTAGGGACCTCTAAGCGCTTACATTATTATCCCCGGATCACTGGATCAAGCACATATGGAACACACACTCAAGCCCCATGGGGGAATTCCATAATGTTGCAGCTGTTTCAGCGCAGGCTGTGCTTGAACCTACGAGGTACCCATTTGTACTCCAGGGTGGAGAGAGACAACCGTAGATAAAGTGCCTTGCCCAAGGACACAAGCGACTTGCACAGCGGGAGTTTCGAACCCCCCGACCTCAAGGTTGGGAGTCCAAGCCACAACCGATACGCCAACCACTTCTAAGTGTATATTATTTAGGTTTTTTTCCATAATGTGAAAAATTACTTTTTTCAATTCTATTCAATGTTAGACACTATACCAAGAGAAAAAAAAACATACGATGTAGGCAAATAGATTTTTGTTATTCCATTTACAGAAACTTGTAAGCTCATCCATGTTCTTTTTAATCATTACATTAGAGAATAAAACATGCCAAGAGTAAGGGTTCACAGTGTTTATTCTTACAAACAAGAGCGACCGCTCACCGGTCCGTGCGTTCCTTCATGCTTAAATACGGTACAGGCGCAAGTTATTATATTGGGTTTTTGGAAGAGCTAATAAGATACTTAAAATATCTTAAAATTAAAAAACTAAAATTTCTTAAAATTAGAAAAAAAAAAAAAAATTGAATACCAAGGTACGATTCGAACTCACAAACGTCTTTACTCACAAAGGTTCTTAGAACACTTCCTTAACCAACTGCCCCATCCATGCAACGTGCCCCATTAGTGGTAATGGCAGTAATGTACAGTCCTTGCTAAAACCTGTTTTGTTTTGTAGGGGGAACAATGGGGTCCACCTTAAAAAAAGTGCAATTAAAGTTTGTTGGAAATCACCTCAAGTTTGTGTGTACAAATTTTGTGCACGTCCGTCAAATAAAATTTAATATTGTTGAGAGGGCATTAGAATATGTATTCTTTTGGAGGTTGGAGAGGGTGAAGAAGGATCACAGGAAAGAACATGTTTTGTATCCTTTTGAAAATGATTAAAAAAACCCAACACTGATAAGGTCGACAATGAGACAGTCTTCTCATCTACTTTTATCGTAGCATAGTATGGCGAGTCAAATGGCTGCGCAGTTAAGGCAGGCCATAATGTCAGCGCTGGTTCGAAAGGCATGCTCACTTATGGTTCTGGTGGTGGAGCAAGTCTTTTCGGATAAGGACTATAAACCGTAGTCCCAGTGTACACCATTGGCTCATGTGCACTTTAAAGAACCCAGTACATCTTTTGTGACGGGTAGGGGGTTACCCTGGTATACTGGTTTATAGATACCACTGTGTGGACAGACGAGAAATAGTTGGTACCGGTTTACCCGGTAGCTTGGACATGAAAAGACCCTTAGGGGAGAAAAAATTACTGTACGAGCTAGTCCACACCTCAAGCATTTTGAGACTCTGGTATTAAGCGCTACATAAATCAAACTACATCACATAACAAGGATAAAGATACTTAGAATGATTGACTAGGTACCTTTCTACAATGTTGAGGCATGAGACACCATCCTGACCTCCAACGGCGTATAGGTAACCATCGAGCACAGCTACACCTACACTCGTCCGACACGTACTTGTTGGGGCAACGTCACTGCTCCATTGATTAGTTTGTGGGTCATACCTGATAAAAAAAATAACTATAATTATTTATAATAAAAATAATGATATTACCTACCTACCTACCTATTTTCACTAAGTGTTTTTCGTTCTTTTATGGATTCTTCTGCAACTGTTTTTCAATTTATCTCTTAGCACCGGCGGCAAGTTATTTTTTAACTTTAATGGCACTTTTTAAGTTTTATTGCATTATTATTACTCTTATTATTATTATCATTAGTGATAATGACAGTATTAATTATTATAACAATAACAATCATATTAATACAAGATTATAGCAAAAAATGATATTTAAAAAATTCTTGTTCACAGTTTTTAGAGATTGTTAACACTTTTTCTGTTATTAATAATAACAGAAAAAGTACATAAAATATAAAAATATATGTAAAAAAAAAGAAGGTAAAGAAGAGGAATTTGAGAGTGTGTGAAAATAATTTCTCCAACTGGGATTCGAACCCGGACCTTCTACTGTCTATGCTGACGCTTTAACCAACTGGACCATTGAAGCTTTCGTTGGAAGTTCGAATTCAATTGGAGGCAATTCATTTTGTAATTTATGGTATGCCAATACAACATTAGTATTTAAAGGACAAACGTTAAACTGATATGAAGGCCCCTTTTCTTAAGCATCTTTAACGACAAGACAAGATACAAATATATAAGAATGTTGACCACAAACCTTTCAATGCTATTCAAATATGAGGAACCATCGTGTCCTCCCACAGCATATAGCAGATCATCAAGCACCGCAACACCAACGCCGCATCTTCTCTTACTCATGGCTGCCACCATCCTCCATTCTCCTGCTTGAGGGTCATACCTTTCAACACTAGCTATTGCATCACCGCTACACCAACCACCAACTGCATACGAAAATACACAAAACAGTTAGTTAAAAAATAAACTTGGCTTTTTTTTTGTTTATTTATAAATTATATTGTGCCTTTCTTTACATATAAGATTCTTTCACCGGTCAATGGGGGCACATGCCTAAGTGTTGCTGCCATAATAATACTTTCATATTAACATTGTACTTGCTGTATGTAGAATGTAAAAGCAATCTCAAAATTAATCAAATAATGTACCTGCAAACAGTACTTCTCCGCATCTGATAGGCTTCCTAGGTCTTGTCCTCGGACCCTGCATTAGGGGCCGCTCTTGCGGAAGGAGCAAGTAATTCTTTGCTTCATCAACCAGATCTCGACAAGCCTCATCACTACGAATCAAAATGTCTGAACTAACGGTACCGACTAGGAATTTTGGAGTTAACAATGGTAAACGTACATGTTGGATCACCTACAAAAATGTAAAATCAAAATATTAAAACTATATAATGTCAATCATCTAAAGGTGCCTATCACTGAAGAGCGGTGCTTACAATAAATGGTCATTTATGGAAAACACTCCTTTTTATGGTATTTTTAAATTAATAGTACATTATGTTTATTATTCTTACTATGATTTTATTATTATATATAATCATAGTAAGAATAAAATAATACAAATGACATTATTAATCAAACTTATTGAAAATAGTATTAATACTGTATAACTTAAAAATATTTTGTAGAACATGGTGTGATTACTATATTGTTACATTATAATATAATGCTAAGTATTGTTTAGCACTACAAATTTACTTTACTTTGAAATATATAAAAAATATCAACAATTTAAAAAAAAACAAAACTTCATCAGTAAAGCATAATAGTAGGTACAGTATTACATTTCTTGATGTTTGAGTAATAGTCAAATTAAAGTTGGCTCGTGTTCAGGGCCACTTACATGTATTGCACTAAATGAAAAGAAATTATATTTATTTTCAAAACAAACCTGTGAAATAAGGTGCCGCCTTTCTACTAAGTTGTATTTCACCCAGGCTATGCAGGCTGCAAATACTTGCTCCTCGGTTCTGACATTTAATTCTTCACTACCAATAATTTCAATAAGCTGACCAACAGGTAACAACATAAATTCCTCACTTTCCATTACCTGAAAGAAAAAGTATTATCATCTATCTGTTTTTTATGAGCAAGTACAGAAGAGCGGGTGTGTGATAGGAGTATTGTAGATGTTTCTAAGCTTAATCTTAAATACGATGGAGGTGTTCTCTCCATGTTGGAACACATGCAACTTTCCCAAACTGATCATCCACTCTACAATGAGTACACATTTCTCCCAAATCTACTGTACGTCTCTTCTTTATAAAATCGTACTAAACGCTATAAAAATCATTTGTCCAACAATATATTGCTATTTATTAAAAGATAATATTTTTGTTACCCAAGGAGAGAAAACATGGATTACATCAAAACTCAATTATTAAATAATTTGTACCCAGTATTTACCTAATTTAACTTTTATATTTGAATTGTGTATATATTGAATTATTTTTTTAACCTTTTATCAGTGCTCAAAAAATCAAGTTTAGATCCCATAGCCTTCTGGCTACAGGAATTTTTAACTGGTGCCCATTTGGTGACAAAGTAAAATAATTTTGTAGCCATAGGCTGTTGTCAGTTTTTTCATTTCCTTATTTAGTTTATTCAATTCTCACTTAAAATTGTATAGTACAAAATCAATAGAAGATGGGAGCAACAGGTGGAAGCCACCTGCTGAAATGGTCCAGTCGCAAAAATCCTAAAAACAGTAATAAATTAAAATATACCGTATATTCTGGTGTATAAGCCAAACCCCTAATTTGGAGGCGAAATATCGCGATTTTTGTGTCACCTGTGTATAAGCCACACCTATTTTTAAGCTCAAAACCGTCCCATAATGTTAAGTTTTTAATTATTTTGAAACATTTTGACATTATACAAATGTTCACATAAAGAAATTTCAACTTTTTCGGCCGATTTAAACAACAAACAAGTGGAATGCGTGTAAACTTCTGGAAACTGCAATGAAACAACGTATTCTTACACAAGGGAAGTTCCCATTTATCGCTAGACGGTGCTATAAAACTCGTGTTTTATAGCATACATTAATTTCACATGTTTTTATTCTAAAATCATAACACTGCAATATAGCATTGGGAGTCATATTCTTTCTATTAAGGTACTAGCCACCGGAAACCAGACGTCGAACAGCAAGTGTCAACCAGTAACCACGCGTTTTTGTTGCGACATCGAAAATGAAGCTGCTCACGTGACTTCAAGGACTGACCGAACTGCCGAAAAATAGTTTGTTATTATTGTTTTGCGAGATGCAGGTACAAATAGAAACGTTGTATTCAAAAATTGTTTATGAATGAACGTAATTATGAAAATAATTATTTAGACAACCCAAACCATTGCTTGAATGATGTAGAAAATGTAGTAGGAATCCTAGGACAGCACTGTAGTGAGTATAATTAAAAATACTAGGCCTAGGCTACAAACCGGTCCTACCCTGGGCTAACTAATTTGGCTGGCCTGGTCCTAACCTAGAAAACAATAATCGATGGTCTTGTTTACAGCACGTTTATGTTTGGCCAGGGCATCTGTCAAATGACCTACACGGCGACAAGATTTTTATTTTTCTGTGGATTTTATCGCCAGTTTGGCTATCACTGTTTCTACTCTGGTAGTCATGATGGCAATGGCGATCATATTTTTTTAGCACTGTTTTATATACAGCAACATCTCCCAATTACGAACCTCTCATTTACGATTTTACAAACCCAAATTGAGGCAATGTCTTCATTACGTATGAAAGTTTTTAACTTCAAAAATACCTAAGACAGGCCTCGAATTTTACTGCGGCCATTGCCAACGGTGCCCTCCCAGTTGGCCTTGGTGCCCCTGAAATTGAAGTCACGACGACGGCCACTACTTGCCTGCCCTTTTGAAACCTTGGCCTCGGTGTCCTCACGATGCTTAATATAGATCGTTTGACACGTAAAATAAATCTAAGTAAGAACTTTTAAATCTTGAAAGAAAACACGAAAGCCAAAAGCGTAGGTCGCCTGCATTGACAGAACATGAGAGAACTTCCATGTGTGTTGATACGAACTTGTTTTTGCGGTTACCGTTGTGTGCGCATGCGTCTTACACGAGCGGTTATTGCAATAAACATGGGCTTATTCGACTGGTTCATTTCGTTGGAACGAATTTTCGTTGAGTATTATTTTCATTTGACTGGTTCGTTAAATAGTCTTCGTTGACAACGAAAATTAATGTAAGCCAGAGTGCGTTAATCAGCATTAAGTTATCCACATGACCAAAGAGAAACATGGCCGATTAGTGAGTTTATAAACAACATTTGCGTTAATATAACTTAGATTAAAGTTCATAAAATAAACATTATAATATTTACCCACATGGAGTCAAAAAATAATTGTAGGCAAACAGAAGAGAAAAACTGGATGAAAATATTTTTTTTAACGAAAAACCCATACTACCAAGTTGAAGCAACCTTGATTACGCAACGTGTATCGCGGTAACTACAGTATACAGCCATTTTGTTTTGTCGAGTATTTACAAGTTTTCTATTTGACTGGTCGTCTTTGTTGAGCAGGATCATACCGCTGCGCAGGTGGGCGTGGTTTAACGAAGAACGACCAGTCGAATACAGCCTTTGTACTGTAGTCGTAAACATGTGCTTGCTGCGCAGCTAACTTTGGGCGATCTTACGTCATCGCAGCTTAAGCGTGTGAAATTAACGTAATTGGTTGACACTCGGCTAATCTAGTTCATGACAGCCAGTTTAGAGTTGTGGCTTCCTCTCAGATGACGACGCACTGAGCAACAACACAAAGATATCGAACTTCTTGAAATTTGACTGTTTTGTACGATCGCCGACCGCCGCAGTATATTCCAACATTGAATCGATAATTAATTTAATACTCTAAACAAAGTCATATTACCAATTGACAACTATGGCTTGGCTTGGCTAGCTTGCCTAGCCTGGCTACGACAAATCAAGGCACTCGCGAGAAATTAGTACCGAGGCTAAATCAAATTTTTCCTTGGGTGCCTTTTTTATACTTGAAATTTTGGCCTTGGTGCCTTTAAAAATTATGTCATACTGTACCGGAGGTCATTTGGCCTTGCCCATAAAATCCCCAAATTCGAGGCCTGTTAAGATTGTATTTAAAAGTCTTCAAAAATAATATAAAATGTTACATCAGCTTTAGAAGAAAGAAAACATTTAAAGCAATAAAGTGACATGAAACTACGTTTAAAGCAAGAAATATCATTCTTTTTCAGCCGATATATTACACTTGAGCTGTGCAGCCATACTGTACAGTTACTGTACAGTGAGATTTACTGTAAATCTCACTTTTTGCTCACTGGTGGCGCTATTCACATGGATCGCATTTTTTATGAAGAGAATAATAACACTCATTTTAACCATTATATAGTTTTCATTTGGAAATCGCTTTAAATGAATACTTTACAGTGAGCACATGTAATTTTGGCTTCTGTAAAGTATTATTTTGTTCCAGAAAACAGTAAAATCCAAGTCATATTTTGTGACAAAATATTGCTCCCATGGCGGCTTAGGACTACCTAGACCTGTACTTTGAAGCATACTGTAGGCCTACCCTCAACACACTGAGATGTTATAAAAATTTGAACGCTCTGAATTACGGATTTTCTCATTTACGAACTCTGTTCGGACGGAGGGATATGTAATTGGAAGATGTTACTGTATATTTAATTTTCTAACCCTCTTCTGTATTGCAGTGTATAAACAAAGATATTCTGATGTACTTTATTTATATATATACAATAAAGATTGAATTGAATTGAACAATCAAGCAGAACAGAAAAAAGGTAATAAAATTAAGGTTGACAATAAATACCTGTTGAAAATTCAACTGTGTAAATTTATCTGCAACCCTCAAGAGTTCTTTACATGAATGTGTGTCAGCGAATGCTCGGATTCCAAGACAATTCGAAGGATCTAACTGGCGTTTCAAAAATTCGCAACAAGCCTCTTGAATTTCACCTAGTTGTAGCAGACAAGCAGCTGGCAACAATGTCTGAACATTGCTCTCCTCAACAGTAACAACAGATGTATATGCAAAGTCTATTAATTGTTCCATAGCTCGCTCGTCAATGTCTCTAATCGTGATTTCTGTCTGCCTGCTCTCCGCAAGTTCTCCAGTGAACATAGCACGAAAATAAGGACTGCAAGCAGATAAGACAATTCGATGGGCAAATATTTTGGTGTCTGAAACTACGATAACTACGTCGCATAGTTCTCTGTGTTTCCGAAGCACACTGATCATCTCAAGAGTCTCTCTTGGGTGCTTTTCAGAATTGTAAACATATCGTGCTGGTTGCGGAGGCGTGTCGAAAACTTGATGGACTCCTGCCATCTTCAACTGTGAAATATAAAGTGATAGAAAAATCATTATTCTTTTCGGTTCTCCCTTTCTCAAATCAATAAATTGTATATTAGACCGCCAATTCAGAAGCCCCAGCCATATCTTCTTTTGCATAAATATCATAGGAACAGTATTAAAGTTGGGAACGAAGCATCATGTTGAGGCCATCATCAGTTTGTGGCCATGAGGGCCTCTTAATAACCCTTTCGTGGAAATTAATAAAACACAGTTTAAAAATGTTCTGACAATGTTGCACAAATGAGAGGTGATAATTGGTGACGCTAGCTTGACCCTTACTTTAAACTCAGTCCTGCTATTCTTCTTTGAATATTTTTACTTGGCTAGCAAGTCTTTAATAATTGATTACGCCAAATTCTAGGCCTAGGCCAGGCAATAGGTTATGGGCTTCAGAATGTAATAAAATCATCATAAAAGCATTGCATTTTTGGCGGCTTCTGATTAAGTGCGTCTAATATGCTACCTGACAGAGCTGCACATAAATTATTACTGAATGAAGTTTCCACGTTACCCTACCTATAAATGTTAATGTGACAACTATTCTATTGTAGATGTGGTGGTGGGGATGGGGGTTGACGATTATTCCTTTGAGGCTTTGTGGGTCTTATTTTTTTTTTTAAACAATTTTTACAAATACTTTCTACAGCATGATAATGACTTGCATTGACGCACATTATTCAATCTTCCAGTAAAATGCATACATTGCAGAACATTTTCTCAGAGGCCACATACACGCACTCAACCAACATAGCATACATAAAACAGAAAAAGAGACTTTCTTCGATACATGTGTCATAAGACATAAGTAAATGGAACTCTCTACCACAAACACATGTCATAAACAGCACAACACGTATAGGCCTAGGCCTAAACAGTTTCACAAACAAAACTGTTACGATACAATCACATATCCAAGACTGACTGAGAAAGAGGCAGTCATCACGAGTAAAAACTCAATATGGCAATTACTTCAAGGTAAGTCACTTTATTAAGCCCGGGCACTAGCCTTTAGGATAGTCTTACATACCAAGGCTAACCGGCTAACCAAACCTAGGCTTAGACCTAGCCTCTAGGCCTAGGCCCCTAGTACTACTAGTAGTAATAGTAGGGCTAGGGCTAGGCCTAGGCCTAGGTAGCCCAGGCCTGTTATGCCTAGGGCCTAGCATAGCTTGGCCTGTCCAATGTAATGAACAATAATTAAACCAACAGCAACAACAAGTTTTACGCATACCGATTATTTTCAGTTACTAATCAATGGTCAAATATTTTCTTCTTCTATCATATATTTTAGTCGACTTTAGCTAAAGGAAACCTGTTTACAATCCTCCCAAACATGGCGGCTTGACGTAATATAAAATACATTTTAGTACATGTTATAAAAAGTCATTTTAAATTAAATTATTCAGTTTTAGAGTTATAATAAATATATAAAAATTATAATAGTGCTATAATATATACACTTATTACCTAAATTAATTTTATATTTTACATTATTGTACGTAAAATATAATATTGAACAACCAGGTCTCGATAAAGTACCTAGGCCTAGTAGGCCCTCTAGGTCAATTTCATGGTAACGCTGTAATCAAAACAAGTTTCCTGCTGTGTGTTTGTGGCTTCGCAAAACTTTGATTGAATAATTATTTAATATTTAATATGACAGGAATAGTGACAGATATAGAAAATCCTCAAGCTCGTGAATCGTCGTCAAAGCGAATGAACTTTGTTTTCCGTTGCATTTCAAATGGAGATTTATCCAGGTTACAGGAATGTTTTACAAATGAGCAGGATCCCTATTTTGGACTTGTTGAAGGCAAGTTAAATAGCTTTGACGAAGATGGTAGAACACCAACAGAAGCTTCGTGTATCATGGGTGATGCAGATATGGTTCGGTTTTTACTGGTGAAAGGAGCTAATCCAAATGTTCGCAATAAGCAGTCAGGAAAATCCGCACTTGATATGGCCTGTATTTTGGGGAGAGAGCAAATTGTAAAAGATCTTCTTGAGAATGGTGCTGAAATTGACTTGGCATCACCACGAGGTATGCTGACTTACTGATGAGCATACAAACAACAAAGCCAGACTACCTCCTACTTCTATCTTCAAGTCAACTCGGCCCATCGCCACCTCAGACGATATGACTCGGCCCATCAGATGGCTCAGCCCTCCGCCAAATTGGCCATTTCCAATGTTGCTGCCCTTTGCCAACAACAATCGGCCCTTCGCCACATCCATCCTTGCTTATTCTGCCCCTTAGCAAACTTGGGCCATAATCACACTGCCCAAGTCAACTCATAATTTTATATTATTCCATTATGATTATTAATGTATTCAACTTTGCTGTTGCTTCTGACTATTTGTTATTAAGGCACACAACAAATGCACCAAGGATTGCCAGAAGTGGTGAATATATCAATGCCCCTCTTCCGCAAGACAACATACACACACAATACTTTACACAAACTAAATCTCAATGCCTACTACTGTATAATGATTGCATTGTGACAAGAACCAGTGTTTTGTTCAACGCTGTGGATATTCCTCATCAGTTCAAATACAATGTCTAGTAATTGCTTTTTTAATCAAATGCAATGACAAAAAAAAAGTAATAATACACGTTACAAAAATATATATCAAAAGCATATATTACTATTATAATTTTGTAGTCTATGCCTAGGCCTAATAATAATATAATACAAACCAACTTGTGGTCAAACAGAGGGCTGAGTTGGCCAAAGGCTGAATTGTCAAGGGCTGAGTATGATCCCAGTTGGTGCAGGACCGATTTGACTTGATTTCTTCTACACTATTCTGAAAACTAAGACAAATTTATTTTCCATAAAAGAAATTTCACCACTGCCAGTTTTTTCATGTAGTCTAGGCCTAGTGTTAATTAATAATAATGTTAATTATGTTATGATAACTCTTCTTGGTGTTGATTTGTGTTTTTTTTTTTTAATTCTTCATGCAATGAACTTGTTTATAATACTTTTTTGGAAAGGTTATACAGCACTTCATCACGCTGCAGCGTGGGGGAGGTTGCAGTGTTTAAAGATACTAGTAGAGTTTGGTGCTATTTTATCTGTTCTCACCACCTACGGAGAAAAGGCCAGAGATGTTGCACTCAGATATAAGCATGATGATTGTGCATATTATCTCGATTGGTCAGGTAATAATGATTCCTTGTTTACCTAATTCACACTGCAAGACAAATATACTACATGGGACGAATGCTAAATGTTACACAGACAACTCTACATGATATTTCTCCGGAAATCTCCATCATCTTTGCATTAGTAAATTCAAACAAAACAAATAACAACTTCTGCAATGCAAGAGCACATTTTTATACCGTGCAACTAATCTATGGAACAAGCTTCCAAACCAAATTAAAATAAACTTTGTGATATCCAAATTACAAAATTTAAAAACCTGATTAAACCCTGTAATATTTTTATTAATTTCTACTGCAAAGTTACAGTATGTTCACTTGCCTTGATCCAAATTTAATTAGTTCTGGTCTTTGTATTTTAGTTTTTTTTTTCTTTTAATATATGTTCATTTGATTTTTTTTTAAATTTGCATTTCTGCTTTATTTCTTCGTGTAATCTACTTGTGAAACCAGTGCTGCATCACTAAAAGTGGTATCACTTTAAAGACTGAACAAATAAATAAATAAGTAAATAAATAAATAATACATTTGTTAAGGTGGAATAAGTCCTGATTAGCCATTAATGTACAACGAATAGTCTTTTTACCGGTGACATATAAACTGAGTTGTAAAAATGTCAGGATGTAAGCAACAATCTAAAACTTTCAATCTCATGGCCTTTAAAATAATGTTAATATTCTTCACAGAGGCAAAACGAGGTTTATTAGCAGTCATTGGGAACATGAAAGAAACTATTGAAGATCCACAGAAGTTACAAGGAAAACTAAGTAAAGATGAAAAGGTAATGGCACAATTGATTTAAAGTACTAGTCCAAGTTCTCATTAATTACTTTAAGCTACTATTTGTCTTGATCTTTCTGAGCCAGAATTTTTCTGGTTTCTTTTTTACGTTTTATTTGATTAAATCTAGTTTTACGTTTTAAAGATTTTATTTCCAGTCTTACTATAAACTTACATACTGATAATTCCTGAGTCACCAATAAATAAGTTTCATTTTATTGACATACTTTAATTATTTATATTTTATATGTATATCTTTAATGTAATATTGTTGATAAATAATGATTACTGTATTAAAAAGACAAATTACAGTATATTGTGTGCAGTACAAAACCATTACCAGTCAGCGGTCAATATGTGTCACATAGCATGGAGAAAATCTTAATATATTTCCTTCATGCATAGTGTCCACTGTCAAACACTTCTTTGTATATATTCTTCAATCTGCACATTTTTCCAGTACTGTAGCCCTTGGGTATTATGGACCCTATTTTATTTATTTTTATTTATTTCAACTTTATTTCACGAGGGTAGCTCTAACAGCTGCATTACAGTAGTACAGCTGACTTGAAGAGGCCCTCTAAAGAAAAACAATACATAAAAATATATACAATACATTAAAAATCCAAGTAAGTAAAAGCTTCATTACAGTTAAAAAACTATATAATAAATAAAATATTGAATAAATATTGTAACATTCATTAAAAATACAATAAACTTTAAAATTCATTATAAAATTACAAGGTGATGGTTAAAATCAGAATTTTATTGCTTTTCTCTGAGATATAATTTTAACTTGGTTTTAAAATTAGAATAAGATAAATTGCATTTAAAAGGAAGAGTGTTAAGAAAGGAGGTGGCTCTGTAATAAAATGACATTTTAAAATACTGTAATTTAGGTTTAGGGACAAAAAAGAGGCCTACAGTTGTCGAACGAGTACGCATACCCTCGCGAGTAATGGGTTTCAAAAGACGATTGAGGTAATCAGGTGCAGAACCAGTGGCTGCTTTAAAAGCTAGGCAGCCAAGTTGAAGAGCAATTCTGCTAGAAACATTCAATAAATTAAGAGTTGAAAGGAGAACAGAAGAACGGGACTTCTAAGGTTACATGTACTGCCAAAATGAGTGTCTGGGGAGAAGGGTGAAGGGAGTTTAAAATTACTAATGATTTTGATTTAACTTGGGTTTTTTTTTTTTTTCAGATGACTGTAATCAATCTGTGTAGTGAAAAGCAGGAATGGCTTGACACAGCAGATCATGCAACCATAGAAGCTATCATAAAGAATAAAGAGCAGTTGATAGAAGCACTGGAACCTATACAACAGAAACTGCTGGAGCCTGGTAAGTGAAAAAATATAACATACAAGAAATGCAGTGATTCATTAACTTATCACATGTTGGCTTTGGCAGTCAGCACAATTGCATCATACTGCAATGATACGTTGTGCGACAATCATTTTCAAGCACAATTTGCTCAGACTTATATCACCAAAAGAACAACGGAAACCAACAGCATCATCATCATTAAAAACAACAGTTAACAACTTCCAATATGTACTGTATGCAAAGACTTTTTATCTGATAATAATCCCTGCAGTCTGTAATTAACTGATTACTTGAACATTTGATATATTAATTGCATGTTTTGTGCAATTTATTAGCTTAGTATATTACAACTATGAATGCTTTCCTCTTCAAGTAATTAAAGCATAATTTCTGTTATTTACATAAGACCCTTTGGCTGGTAATCAGTTCATGGATTTCATAGAAAAATGGTCACCTGTAAATTATTAAAATGTCTGTGTCTCATAGGAATTTAGTACAGTAACTTATTCATTGTTTCAATTTAATTTCCTGATGTTTAATTCAGGCCCAACTGCCCCCTCCCCCACCCAAGATCCTAGATTGTACCACTACTAAGTTTTAATAATAATGAACCTCAATAAAAAAAATTAAAAAAAATTTTACCTTATACATTTTTTTCAGCTCCAGAGAAGCCTCACAGAAGATGATCTCTCAGCAGTGGTCACAATATTGTATTCCATTGGAAGCTTTTATATGTAAATACTTAAGATTGTAAACAATTTCTAAGTGTTTAGTTATCAAATAATGCTTTTAGCATTATCATAAAAAAGGGTTATGTTTATTGTTTGAAATTTTTATTAAATATTACAATTCAAATTCTGTATTCAAATTTTGTATGATAGTAATGCTATCAAGAGCAAGTATTTTGCTTAATCAATGTGCAATGTACAGTACATACAACCAAGGACTTATAACTGTTACCAGGATACGCCAAGCCGATACGCAGTGCGGGCCGCAGTGGCTAAGGAAAGTTTTGTTTTTCTGAGCATGTGCAGATTGTGCACATAAGTCTAATTCAAGTTAGACGGCTTAAACCAGCCAGCTTCCTATCCTGGTAACAGTTATAAGTCCTTGATACAACGGGGCTTTTTTGCTGTGTTAATCAAACTACTGACCAATCAGAGCAGGGCCAGTAATAAGCAAGTCCTACAAACGCATGTGTCGTCCCACAAACGCATGTGCCGTCCCACAAATGCACGTGTTTCCCCCAAACGCACGCGTTGTCCCGCAAACGCACGCGTTGTCCCGCAAACGCACGCGTTGTCCCGCAAACGCACGCGTTGTCCCGCATATGCACGCGTTGTCCCGCAAACGCACGTGTTTGCGTATGGTTTTACAATGTCGTTTTGTGGGACCTTAGCAACAATATTCAAGGGACGGAGGGTCTGAGTCAAGTAGCTGACGAAGTCTCGGTCGACGACTCGGAATAAAAACTCCCCCATGTAGGGTTTACGGGGGAGAGTTTTTATGGCTTAGTATGGTGCAAAATGTGCTTTTAGACCACAATTAGGGATTGGCAGTCAAAATAACGTTACTTGGATAGGAGAATTATTCTTCTTTTTTATATTTTTGATCCGATGAACTAGTCGTGCATGGGACGACAGGGGGATTCAGGCTTGTCCAACGAGTAGAAAATTCCCCCTGCTGGTGCCAACACTAATACAGATCTCAAGAAAACATAGTGCAAAGATTGCTTTGGGGAAGGAAAATAGTATATCTGAAAATAAGACGAGTTTAAATTTCAAGTATTTGCTTAAAATCAGTTTGTATTGAAATTACGAGTGATAGAGTGAGTGAATGGGGAAAGGTCTAATGAAGGAATTGGAGATTCTAATATGAAATGGAAGATGAGAGTATTGTCTGTTGTTGCGGAGGGAGATTGTCATGGTTACATTCCGTTGTTTATACAATTAATTTTCGCTTTACTCGATTAACTAAGTATTTTTGAGGCATTCAAGTGGCATTGGTTGTAAAAATAATGTGCCATAAAAAAGATGTTCCAGAGTTAGTGCAAGGAATATGACATCTTAACTACAGCTCCAGTACAACTTTATGATTCTCAATAATTGTGTACAGTAACAAAAAGAGACAGAACAATCAAAATAGTTTGAAAATAATATATTTCCAACTCAACAAAATATGTATATTTTGTTCAGACATTTTGAAAATAAAACAAATTTCAATTGGTAAGAACAAAAAGCATTCAGTTACTATTATTACATATAAACACTGAAATCATATGAATGAAATTACACTGTTATAAATATCATCTCATTGAAAATTTGCATTATATTGTGATATGACTATAAACTATTACAGAGGGCATATACCAGAATTGTAATTTATCACACTCACATCATGGTAAATGATATTAACAAAATAATCAGTGAATAACTGTTAAAAGCTTTCCAAATGTTCATAAATTTAATTTGGTGTTAGAGGTTACTTGTTGAAAGTTGATGGTTTTATTAGGCTAAAAAAAAAAGAAGAAATACAGGTAATAAATTCCTTAAACATACTGTAAGAGGACTGCAGTAAGTTTGTGCCTTGATCATTTGACATAGAGCTAAATCAATTTTTGATTTAATTTGCCCTGTTAAAAAGAAGCCAAACCCGATCAGTCACAAGGTATTTATTGTAGAAATGCGCTTTACAGAGCGGCTCATCAGACTTGCAGATTGTGCCATTTGGCGCCTCTCTCAACTGCAGCCATGTTTTTCCGAGTGACATACTTGGCTTGCATGTAATTATTAAACTCATTAAAAGAAATTGTGCTGTCAAATGTTTTATAAATGATATTGGTGTATCAAGGTGCATTTATACCAAATCCAAATTTTCAAATGGAAAGCCTTCAAAATCGAACAGAAATTGAATCAGTGTGTGAGAATAAGGGTTGCTTAGCATTCATCGCTTCGGAAACTAGGTCCGGATCAGAATGCATCCGGTAGAATAATTATTTTAAAAAACCACTGTATTAATTCTGCAGGATGGTGGCCTTAATAATTAAATGCAGGCTTCTTATTAATTTCAAAGATGCGACTTACTGTATATTACATTAATGATGTAGTATACAAATTAATAATTGATAATTGGTTAATCCAAAATAAAGCCCCAGCAATGGTGGTTATTAATAATGTAAAACATATAAGGTATGCCCTATTAACAATATTTGCTCCCACATTATGTAAATATTATGCAAATAGCTCACAAATCTTTATCCTGCTTTATTCCAGGAAACCAACTTTAAAAAAAACCACACAAATTAATTAATAAATCCTTCATTAAAATTTTCCTAGAACTAGAAAATTAATTATTAGTGTGTCTACCCACACACAAGTATTTAATGAAACAAAATGACGGGCCAGGAAGAGAGACGGAAGTGGACATAGAAAGGCATAATGGCTACCAAGAGGGAAGGCGAGGGCCTAGCAATACATCTAATTTTGCCCCCCGGGGGGGGGGGTTTGATAGGGAGGTAAATATTTGCCCTGACTCCCTCTCAACCCCCTCTTGCTGGTACCACTGCTGTAAGTAGGATAAATTTTATTCCACTTTTTTTTCTAATATTTTTCCCAATGCCCTCAAATTTCTCACAGTGACCCTAAATATAAATAGAAAATTTAAAAACAAGTGACATATGTATTGCCATATTGTGACAAATATATAATAAATAAATAAATATGTACCTTCTTATATCTGTCAGTATTACACATGCTCAATAAAAATAAAAAATAAATATTGTATATATCAAGCATTCAACACCTGGCCTAACATAGCTGACACTAGCTAAAGAACTAAGGCAATACACCACAATAGATTTTTAAGTTTTGTTTGGCACCACATACATTTTGTTCATATATAAACCATGCAAGTATATTTTCAAGCCATGACATGAAATATATCATCCTTCTATCAGTCTTTCATATGGCTCTTCATTTTAACAGGGAAGATGTCAAATTATATCTAGTACAAACATTGACTTGTGGTCAATGAACTCGAAACAGTCAACATAAATAAATTATAGAAAAGTAATATATCATTCACATAATATTCAAAAGAACATTGTCAACTTTAACAATAAGCAATATCTTCCCAATAGGAAACATAATGGCAACAAAGAATGAAGACAATGTGTCATTTTCAAAAAAAATCAAATAACACAGTCAACATATTTGAATATCATCCAGGTTAATAAACAGGGTTTTTACCAATGACAAAATCATATTGGCCATTAATGTTTGGCTAGACTGGCAATAACACTCATCATAAGTGTTCAGATGACACTAAATCATCTGCTAAGGAAGACATTAAATACAGAGAATTTCCCCATTACCATACAATCTTGCAAAATCTGAGGTTCAGAATCAAGTTAGACATTAAACATAATATGTTAATCTCATCTAACATGCATTAGGTTTTCATAACACAGTATGCGGTATTATATAGTAACACTTTAGGAACATAAAATAGTTTAAATTAAAATGTCTACCTATAAACAATTTTCAAATACTGAATCAAAAGAAGACACAGAAAATAACACATAAATAAATACAATTAAAATTAATTATTATGCAAACTCAAGATATATAAACAAGGAAATAACAAGACATTCATATATCGATAAAATATCAAACAATATCAATTTAGGAGTTGTTTGAAGTAGTATACAACTCAGAAGATAAATAAATTCTAATAGGCTTACAAATAGATAATTATATAAAAAGTAATGTAGGCAGACTTTTACCTTGTTTTCCACAAAAATAAAACAGAAAAAAATCCCCATTTTACATTCTGCATTATTGCTGACTCTTTGGAGACCAAAATGTAAAATTGTTTAAAATTGCTCTCTTATCGGTCAATTTCATTATTTTGTATTTTGCATTTGGATGCATCCTTCCAGGCCTGTTAAAATGCAAACATCCTAAACACTGCATCCTGATTGGCAGTATGTAGCCAGCCCACTTTACATATGCATATACAAATGTAATAAACAGCAAGCATCTTATTGCAGGTGACTTTAATACCTTTTAGTTGTATAACTTATAAACTAACAGGTAAGACAGTATTCCACTGAGGAACAACCACTTCTTATCACCTTCAATATACAGCAAATGAACTATAAAGCCTCCCCCATCCCAGTTCAGCCTAAATGCCTATGTATTACCGGTAATGACTTCAGAACATTAAATCTGTTATGTAGTAGCCCTTCTGTTGTGGATATAGAGAGGGTAAATGGTGTTCATTTTCCAAACTTAATTGTATTGTGTTTTCTATTGTCCTGCTCTATATATGGACAGACCACCTATGAGCTCTTACTGGCTAAATCCATGAGCCCCGGCTTTAAGGAGCATGGGATATTAATTGCCAGGACCATGGGCCCTAAATTGGCCTAGTGGAATCCTGGGAGCATCAAAATATGCCCTTACAGATGGAGCGCCGTCCTTAGTCCCACTGGGACCATATAGGCAGCCTGTAGTCCCGGAGTAATAGGGCGCCAAAAATCATTAGCCAGGCCTTCAACCTCACAATGAATAATAGTAATTTTTGAAGAAAATTTCTGTTAAGTTAAACAGCAACATCTGTTTTTGTTAAATGTTCATATCTGTCCTGACTTCAAAGTCAATTAAAAATATAACAGGTGTATTTGTGCAAGTACCACCCAAAAGAATTATGAATTAGAAAAGTGAACACTTACATAATGTTAGCATTTGGTTTTTTATGATAAAGGGTTTTTTTTTTCTATTGAGTATATTGATCAGTTCGTCTGTTTGCATTTATTTGTTAAGGAAATTTAAATAGTAAAATGGCTATTTTGTTGAGCCAATTGACTTGAGCCAGAACAAATATTCAAATGCTTATTTCAAATGTAAGCATCCTGTCCTCTGAGTGGCTTTAGTCATGGAGTTATGGAACAACTCTCAAAGATGTGAACGTGCACAGGAGACTTTTAAGTGAACAATTAAGTGTAAGAGACGTAATAATCTCTTGATCTTCCTATATACAGTAGGATTAGGCAACTGGGAGGTCCTTCTCAAGTATATACAGGATTCCAAACACATCCTGATAAAGCAAATGCTAACTTTGTCAATGTGAATCCTCAAGCATCATGGCAAGGTCATTTAACCTGTAATTATACACATCGTATCAATTCTAATATTATGAAAAATATCTCTTAGCTAATGTGTGAATTTATTTTGAACTAAGCCTGAAGCAATATGCAAATTAGTCTGACAAAAATGGGCAACTTAAGCATTTAACCTGTTAATGAATTAAAAGATAAGGAAGGAATTTGTTTCTCAAATTCAACAAATCTTAAACTCCTAATTTGATAATATATCTTGTGTATCATGAACCAGGACATAACAGTTATAGAGCTCATTTATACGTTAATAAATAAATAAACAATAGGAAAAGTTATGAATTAATGCAATAGATTTGTCAACCCAATAACACAATTATACACTACTAGTACCTTAATATAACTGCATGCTCTGATGTTAATGAACTGAGATGAGCATTGGGTCCTCAATAAGTTACCATTCAACCCCTTCCCCTTTAGGTTATGATCAAACACATCTAAAACCAGAATTTTAAGGTTTCCCACAGGCCTCAGGAACATTCTCACCATTATGAGAAGCCCTGCTTTTTCTAGCACCATATGACGACATTTAAATTCAAATATCCAATCCTTTATTTTAAAATGGATTTTCTGTATGTGGGTTTTTAAAACAAGTGTTCACACATAACTTTGGTTTATGGAACTCAAGGACATGTCAAATTCAAACCTAAAATGCAGCCACCTATAGTTTAGGCACGACATCTGTGAGATTGTTCACCTACAGTACTTCAATGTAAACAATCTTTCAAGGCTTTTTTCACTACGCATGTTTACATCTTCGCGCATTTTGTCCACGCATATAAATGGCTTTCAGGTAAGTGCTAAATTTGGTATATCTTTAGTGCTAGCATGCACGTCTAAACAATTTTATGTACATTAAGAATAACTTTAAATGGTCAGGTTTGTTTATATCTTGTTTACAATTTAGTAACTAATACCTTATAAAGTTCACCAATGCATTTTGGGTAAAGTTTCTCATTAAGGTACATATCATTTATTCCTCCCGTTGGGTTTGATATGAGCACCTGTGTTTATATTACATTAAAATTAGTCCACAGGTGTTCAAGTTCCACTTTATTGAGCACTTGTCTCCTTTGGCCGTAGATGAGATGATTGCACTCCGTCATTTATTATAAAACAGCACACCTGGTACATCAACGATCATACAGGTATTTTTGATGATTACTGTATTCAAAATTGTTACATCAGGCATGTTACTTTGTACACCTGGTATTCAAATGACCATAATAGTTTGTTTTTATTGGTCACCTGCCAACCACTCACTTTGATAATCCTTGCATTATTTCTTGAGGTAGTGTTCTTACTCGAAGGACATCAGATTTGTTGGGACCTAAAAAAATTAAATAAAAATTGATTCATAAATGAGGTTTATCTTGAAAAATATTTAAGTTTTATCAATTTTCAATTATGTGCATTTTTGCAAAAAACAATATTATTTTAGTAATTGAATCCTCGTAAGAATAGATTGTGACAAGCAGTTATTTGCCATGCTGCCCTCTGGAGGTAAACATTAGTAAGTTGTGCATCAAACATGGAGGGAAGTATATATAAGAGAATAAGAATTCACTTTATATTATTAAGTAATGATAAGTATTAAGTTTATATAAGAAAAAAAGATTTAGATGAATATTAACGATAGTAATGAAAGAAAAATGCTTAGAATGTTTCCTCTGCTAAAACGTATGCTTGAATTAACCAAAGTAAAGAGCACATTACAAAGCATTCTAACAAGAGGAAAGCCAGTACAGCAAGTAGTAGAAACAGAAAAAAAAACACAAACAAGGGTTTCCAACTAAACAATAAAGATATTATCATATTATATTACCAATGCATTGTAAATTTTATTTTTATCATACCATAATCTGTATGTTGAAACATCTGACATATATACAACCACACATAGTATACTCAGCGCTCTGAGATATGTTTACAGTGCTCCAAGTTATGTTTATTGGGTGCGATACCAAACATGTATATTAATATATTATTAATATCTGATACAACAGATAGGTACAGTAGCCAATGGGCTAAATAGGAGAGTGCCCCAGTTCCATTTTGCTAACATTTAGCACGGGAATGAATTAGTATGTTTAGCTTCAACCTGTAAATTCTGTCTTGGAGCACTAAAAAATCATTATTTAAATGATGTTGAACCCATTACCAAAATAATGTATTATATGTTGGACTCTCATCGCTCCTCCCCCTCCTTCTTCCCACACGTTCCCACACATTAGAGCTCCATGCAAATATAGTCCTATATTCAAACATGCAATAAAACATGCCAGCAGTTGCAAGCATGCATGAAATAAAGTCACATTGCATGACTTACAACTGAGTGCACATAAGGTAAGTGAAGCCTTTACAGAGAAGCCCCAACCGGTACCGGTACAACACATTTAAGCTGAATATTAAGCAAAATTTAAAAAAATCAGATGATTTTGTGATTTGTTCTTTAAGAATTAGTAATTATTAGGCTGAAACTATACAATATTTAGTGTGAATTGATATAGTGCTAAGAATCCATGCCAAAGCATCTCCTATGCTGCCTCTCCCTAGGAAGAGATCTGAATATGCTGCATGTCATCTCTGTATGGTCTTTGGACCTGTAGTGCTAACATCAAAATAAAGCAAAAGCTGTCTAGTATTCTATGTTAGTCACATTCTCGGTGGTGTTGTGCATGGCTCGCGGAACCGGGGACTAGGCCCCCCCCCCCCACTTCTTGGCAGAAAATATATGATGTCTATGCAGATTTTTGTATGATCAGCTCCCTCGCAATTCATATTCCCATTCATCTTACTAGTGGGGCCCTCTCCCCCCAACCCAACTTTGAAAAACGTTCTGCCTGACCTGTTGTGTGTAAATAAATCTAGTCACATCCCACTTTCTGAAGGTACAGAAATGGCTGGTATATGGTTCTTATGATGAATGAATAGACACAACTGGCAAATCTAAACTAGAAGTATCACATGATGTTTAGTTGGTGATGGTGTAACATACACTACGATCAGCATAAATGAATCAGAGGATATTTTATGGTCTTAAAACAATGCCCCCATTAATAATGTGTTAAATAATTGGTAAGGAAAGGCAGTGTGATTGTTCATAATAGTGATCTTATAAAATCATTTTCGTTTTTTCTGTGCACTCTTGAATTCATGTAATCCGTTGAAAGCCAAGAGGTAGCATAGAATCATTAATGTTTTGCATTTTTAAGTGTCAGATCAAAATTAAACTTCCAAGCGATTTTAGAGCAGGGCACCGGCATTCCAATCAACATTATTCATTTGTGATATGCCCTACAATATCTATGATGTGCCCTTCAGCATAAACATTTTCATATACTGACTGTTGCTTGCTGTGTCTGTTATATAATATTGTACCGTACCACATAAAGGTCATGTGACTGCTGTCGCCTACTGTGTCTATCGTTCCAGCTGTTGTACTGAGTGTCTGTGCTGAATTTAGTGCTTAACAACTAAGGTTACTTCCTAGAGAGCTGAGCAAGTTGTACGCTGCATGCTTATAAATCATGTATTCAATTAGTACAGTAGAGAAATTATGTGAATAGAAATGAAATTTTCTTTGTGAAAAGTGGTAATTAAAAAAGAATATTATCTTAAGTATTCATTAACACAAGTAATGACTATTTCACAAATCGCATTAGAGATCCTGAATTTGTGATACATCCATTTTCCAAAAATACAATAAGTAATATAAACACATATATGATTAGCAAAAACAAAAAAAAAGGGAATTACAAGGAATAATAATTACAATCGTGTTTGTATTTTTTTATTTAAATTGTACAGTGCAAGTGTCTGTATGTGAATATTGTGTAGGCAGATGCAAGAGTGTATGTGTCAATATGTGTGGTGGTAGGCATGGCTGTATGTATGTGGTTTACAGTGTAAGGTAACCATGTATCCAGCCACACATGTGCCTGGGATTTTGGCTATATGTGTGGCTGTGCAGGGCTTGAAATTAACTTTTTTTCTTGGGAGCATTGCCAAAATTTTCTGGCACCCCCCAAAAAAATTTGGTAGCACAAGTAATTTTTTTAGTAGCACATATTTCCCCATCCTTTTCGCATCCCCTAAGATAATAAGTGGGCAATTCCACAGTAACGGAATTACAAATCACAACATTTTTTTACTTATTTTGACAAACCCAGAAAATTAGGGCATGCGTTGGATAGTAACTGTTATAGATGTAAGTAATACATACACCTACCAATATCAAACAGTGGTACTTAGAAAAAAAAACTAACAATATTTTGAAATTTGACCAATTCTATTTCGGTACGGAATTACACAGAAATTTTCAATTTTAATTTTGATCACGGAACATAAGATTCCGTCTGAATATTATAACCAATTAACATTAGTGACTGGTATCACAGTTTGGACATAAGGTGTGGCTAGATTGTTAATGAAAGTTTGCTGCTCATATATTTATGGTTTATTTGTATTTAATTGGTTTTGTTTGGTAACGAAATTACGTGACACGGTAACGGAATTACATGTCCGATTACTGATTAGAATAAAATATTAAACCATCGAAAAAAGAATTGGAAATAATCTTTAGTGTACTTGTAGAAGTGCATCATATAATTTTAAGCTACTTTAACCAAGTACAGTAGGCATAGGCAGTATTGGCTGTTGCAAGTTTTATTTTGGTAACAGAATTACACAGAAATGATCAATTTCAGTTTTTTTCAAGTAACACAAAGTTCTGTCTGAATATTATAACCAACTAACATCAATGACTGGCTTCATAGTCTGGACATAAGATGTGGCTAAATTGTTAAGAAAGTTTGCTGCTCATATATCTATGGTTAACTGTATTTGTATGGTTTTGTTTGGAAACGGAATTACATGACACAATAATGGAGTTACATGTCCGATAGAACATGGAGGTGGAATAAAATATCAAACTATCCAAAAACAATGTGTTGATAGTATTTAGTGTACTGTAATTTATGGAACTACATCATATGATTCTAAGCTAATTTAACTACACTACAGTAGGCATAAATATTAGCTGTTGCACCTGCACTTACTGTACTCACAATAATCAGAAATGGCTATTCTAGAATGCCTATCCATCTATGGTTCACATAGCTTGGTACTATGCAAGATCTATCCACAATCTATGAATGTTGTCAATTGGCCACACAAATTAACAAAATTCAATTATTCCAACAAACTTTAGGATAAACTTGTCATTGTAACTTTCAAGAACCTGACCAACAAATTTGTTGGCATTCTTCTGGCAAAAGTACTTAACAACCACCTACTTCAGGTCGGATATATAGACAATTTATTATCACTTTTAACTGTAGGCATAACATTACTTGTACCATCATGAGCTTGATTACTTTCTTCAACTTCATCACTATCACTAGCATCATCACTGATATCTGCATCATCACAATCATCAACATCATCACTAAATTCAGCTTATCACTATCTTCACAGTTACTAGGGCTGTTGCTAAGGTCATTTGCTGCCACCTTGTCATTTTAATAGGCTCCACTGGACATAAGTATCAATCTGAATCAATGCTATGGAGGAATATGGGCAGTATATTTAGTAATAGTGAATTAAGTTCTATTAACCGTATTCCTATGACCCAACGTAATTCCGTTACCATGTAATTCCGTTACCAAATGTAATTCCGTTGCCAGGTTTTCTACAAAACTAGCGAAGATCAAAGAAAACTGTTGAGTGATAATGGTAAAGGTGTATGACTAGTAAGAGAATATAAAGTAACTTGAGTTTAGGAACATTGGTTTGCTCTCAGAAAAACAATAATCATTTTTTTGGTAACAGAATTACGGTGTGATATTACCCAATATCTGACAACTTGCTGTGAAAATTGTAAGATGCCATGTCCGAGTCTACCTCAACATTTGGGTTCTAGGGACCATTAAGTCAAATATTCAGAATAATTAAAGTCAGGAAGGATTAAGTTAAGCATAATTGGGGATTATTTTTAAAATTAGCCTTTTTTTTTTTGTTTTTAAATTCTGAATCATATGCTCAAATATACCAGTGGTTTTTCAAGAATATGAATTAATAAGACTAAAATTTCACTTCGAACCAAATTCTACATGTTTCAGATCTGAAAATGAAACCCAAGTTTAGATACAAGTGGATTAAATTTTTGGTGGTTTTGGCCTTCCAATGTGGAATTGCCCAAGTGCTGCGCAATATTTTATTCTTTATATTTCCTAACAAACCTCCACCCGCCCACACCTACACTGACTGTCCCCACGGATTATTATGCAAGAAAGAAGACATGAAAGAAAGAGAGAAGAGATTTTTAAAAATTGAAAAAATACCAAGAAAAATAATAAATAAGAAATAACAAAAGGAAGGAAAGAAAAAAAAAAGAAAGAAGTAAAATGGTGGAAAGAAAATAACAATGAAAAACTAAAAGAAAGGTAAGTAAAAAAATGAAATAAGAAAAAGGATGAAACAATATTAAAAATAAAATAGATATTAAAGGGATAGTTAAAAAAAAAAAAGGAGCAAGGTAAAAAATTCAACCTAACTGGAAGGAAACGGAAAGTATTTCATGGAAAGTTTCAATTGTTAGGAATATTTCAAATTTCTGTTAATTATTAACAGATATACACAATATAAAAAAAAAAAAACATGAGCAGTAATAATGTGCTAGCTAAACTGTCTAGTCAATGGACTGCCAAAATCTGCAGTTACTTAAGTGGATTGATATATTGATTATAAAATTATTAATTATTATTACTGAAACATTAATTATATTTTCTGTACACTTTCTTTAAAATTGTCAGTATTTTTCTTCATTTGTGCAGGAAATTTTCAAAAAAATAGGTCCGCAGAATCGCATTAACACTGCAAATGCCTATACATTGGTTACAATAGCCACCGGCCGACTTTACTGTAACATTTGCGCGGAAATTGACTTATTTTTAATATGTGTGGATGGAATTTTTTCTTTATGAGATAACTCTAAATCATTTTACACATAATAATTTCAACCTAAACAGAGTTCCAGAGTTTTCACCAATATTTCGGGAGTGCTGAGATTCCAGCTCCCCACTTGTCAAAGGCCATTTAGGCTTCGTTTTAAGCCTGAAAAATCGGCATCACACAGTCGGCCGGCTGGCGACACTTCTTATTTAGGTTATAATGTAGCCTAGAACATTAGGCCTGGGCCTGTACAACTTCAGCAAAGTATCTTATACCTACATATATAACGATCTATAGTTTCATTTTCTTGTTCAATGGTTG